CACACAGAGCAGAGTTAGTAAAAACTAGAAACGTATGGCAACCTGGGTTAAAAATTTGGCTTTGGTGGGTAAACAGTGGAGTGAGATCGCCACCTCGTGGCAGTTTTAGGAACTCTCACAAGTGTTCAATTTTTGGGATCACACCATAAGCTATATAAACTGATTTCTACAGGTAGAAGGCAGTCCAAATCCATGTTTACTGAGTGCCATGCTCTGTCCATCTTAGCAGCCATAACTTTAGGGCATTGATAAAAGGTGGGGGCAGGGAGAGTACATCCCTAACACTATTGCGAATCCAGTTCAGATAATTTCTTTTTTAAAAAAATGAAACAGGAATATCTGAACATCTGTTTAATGCTATGGGAGTTCTCACAGAACTGCCGAAGTGAAGTCCATGGAATCTAAGGAGTAGCAAGTGCTTTGTTAATTTCTTACTTTCTGGAGAACGGCTCCTTAAGGCGTAACAGCTCACTGGTGCAAAGACGTGCACCTTCAAGGCACCCTGTCCCAGGGCAGATGGCAATAGCACATGCACTTTAGATGCTCTACTTTTAAGACCTTCATAGTCAGTGGATGCCAGATTGTGACTGTTTGCAGCTCTAATGTCCCCTGAAGGGGTCACTCAATGTGTCCTTGGTACTACTCACAGAGGTAGGAGATGGAACCTGTGATGGAAGTTTAGACCTTAGAAGTAGGTTTGTGACCCTGGCCAAGAGATGAACATGCCAGCTGACTCCATGCTCCCTTCAAGACCTTGCAGTTAAACCTCTGAAACTACAAGCCCAAACAAATCTTGTCACATTTTTGGTTATCCCTGGTGTTTTGACGTAGTGCTCCAAAGGTACCTAGCACACTTTCGGAAAGTTCTGTGCTATTCTGTGTTCTATTTACGATCGTGGGAGGCCCCCAGACACACAAAGAGGGCTGAACCTAGCTGTGGCATCCCTCTTCCTTCACAGATAGATGCTCTCACCTTCCCTTTTACAAGTACTATCATCTGGACCCCAAGAATCATGGATTTCCCAGGGATTTTCCATTTTGTTCACATCCTGAAAATTAATGATAAGTGAGATGATTATTATATTTGTCATACGAAGTCTTCTCTGGAAGGAAAGGAAGAAAAAGAAAGGGAAAGGGAAAGGAAGGGAGGAAGAGAGGGAGGGAGAAAGGGAGAGAGAGAAGGAGGGAGGGAGGGAGCAAAAGAAAGGCAAACAAGCAAGTCCTGTGTGATTTTCCTTGTATAAAGTTTCCAGTTTTCCTAGGAGTCAGGCAAATTTAATAAGACTCTTGACTGAACCCACGTGGGCAAGTGACTTTTTGGTTTAAGGGAGGCAGCACTCACTCGGGCTCTAAGAGTTCTGCCCTGGCTCACAGTTGCAGCCATGAGAGTTCTCAGGGACACCTTCCAAACTTATTTTATTCACTTTAAGTGAGAATCAGGAGCTTGTACGGTGATTTTCTTGAAACTTCAAAAGGCTCTAATATGTTCTTAGCAGTCCCCAGTTCCCCGGGAGCATGGCCACTCTAACTGTTCCTGCTGCTTGGTGCTCAATGAGAAGTTGGCTCCAGGATTCAACCTGGTGAGAACTCCTGATTCAACTTCTCCTTTTTGTTTGAGTCAGTGTACCTACCTTTGAATGGTAGCAAGTGTTTGATGATCTGAGAACTGTCATCACTAACTGGGCAGAGAGAAGGAATTCACCAATGAAGCAAGCACAGATATAGATAAGAAAATGTCCTGCAAGAGGAAAAAAGACTAAGGAGAAAGAAGGAAATTTTAACAAATGACACGGAAGCAAATCGACAGACCAGGGTCCTCAAGCTGTGGCAAGCCTCTATGCTTTAGCAACTAGCTGTGATTTTTGCTATGTGCCTGGCACCACGCTCAGAATCTTGCCAATATTTGGTCCTTACTCTTCTATAATAATTCAATGGTTTACACATTGAAAAAATGGAAGCAAACAGCACACAATAATTAATCAGAGTCATGAGAGCAAATAGCAGAGCTGTGCTTGGAAGATGCCAGGTGCACAGAGAGGAGATGGGCTTGTGAGTAGCGATACCCTTTTCCACCTCCTTACTCTTCATATCTGCTCTCTACCGCCCTCTACTCTCTCCTCTCTTCCTTCTTTCTCTCAGGCTCTTGTCTATTTTTCCTTTTTTCTTTCCCGTGTATTCTCTATTCTCTTTATCATTTCCCCTCCCTACCTGTCTCTTCTCCTTTTTCCTTCCCCCCATCTCACTCTTTCCATCTCCACTTCTCTTCCCTCTTCTTCCCTTTCCTCCTCTCCCTCTTCCTCTCCCTTTTGATCCTCTATTTCCTCCCCATCATCCTCTCCTCTCACCCTTTCTTATTCTCTCCTTTCTTTTCCCCTCTCCCATCATCCACCCAGCATGCCCAGACCACTTAAGAGAGCAAAACTGAAGACTCTGCATAATTTCCTTTTTCAGTAGGATACTCACCTTTAGTTACATTCTGAGAAGATGCAAAGATCACAGAAATCTCTCTGGGCACAGGACACAGGGTGGATCATGTTTGTTATCCTTTTTCTTCCTTTACAGAGAGTTAAGTTTCTAGACAGCAGCTTGATAGCTTTATTGTTCCATTTTAGCCTGGATATTTGACAGCGATAACTAAGATTTTCTAATAAATGACTCAAGCAGACAGCATACACAACAACAATGTAAACATGGGCTAGAGACTTTAATACACTACAACTACATTGTCAACTGATTCCTTTTGAAAATGTCTACTTCCTAAAAACATAATATTCTTTACATTTATAAAAAAAACCTGGTGAGAAAATTCAATTTTGTCTTTAAACAACTTCTGACCTCGATTTTTCCCTTGTCTTGGTTCCTCAGCAAAAGAATAAACACATTCTCTTTCTCTAAACATTCTTTGACAGCAAATGTGACACCTTGTGTAAGACAAAATACGTGTGTGTTTGTGTGTGTGTGTGTGTGTGTGCAAGCTATGATAAATTGTGCTCTAGAAGATATATAATCCAGAATGTTTGTCACTACTAGAAATAATGAGGAAAGATAGTCTAGGTGTAAGTAAAAGAAAATGTCATTACCCAAGAGCTATGTTACTTATTTTCCTTCTATATTTTTGTAGAAAAAAAGACTTGGTTAAATACTGACTCACAATTATTTTGTTGGACAACTGTCATAAAACCCTAGTGATGAAGACTCATCTTCAAATAGCGATGTGTTGTAAGGAGGCCTCTAGTAAGTTCCCCAATGCTTAGTCCTGAAATAATCACACAGAAACTGTATTAATTAAAACACTGCTTGGCCCATTTGCTCTAGCTTCTCGTTGGCTAACTCTTATATATTAATTCAACCCATTTCTATTAATCTGTGCATCACCACGAGGTCATAGCCTACCAGCGCCTGTCTCTGGCAGCTACTCCATGGCTTCTCTTTGACTCTGCCTCCTTTCTCCCAGCATTCAGTTTCGGTTCCCCCGGGCCACACCTACCTAAGTTCTGCCCTATCAACGGGCCAAGGCAGTTTCGTTATTCACCAATGGTATTCACAGCATACAGAGGGGAATCCCACATCACCAATACTCCGCCTGCCAATCACTCATTAACATGACGTTATTTATAATAATGTGCTAATTATTTCTAACTGTTCATTTCCAGTATAATCAATTTTTTTTCAATACCATGAATTTGGGACATTTGTGAAATCAGAGTCAACTGACCAGTTTGGCTAACCATCTATCAAAAGAATAAGACCAAAAGCAAAAGAGATGACAATGACTAATATTGATCAAAACATTTCTCCCAGGCGTTACTCAAGTGCTTTACACATACCATCTCACCACTCATTTCACCCACTGCCTCCGTTTATTCCCATCGCTGTGGTGAAAGCAATTTAGGAGAGAAAGGGTTTATTTTAGCTAACAATTCCAGGTGACAGATTATCGCTGAAAGGAAGGCATGGGACCACAGGCTCGAGAAGGCCTGTCACATCACATCCGCAGTCCAGAGCAGAGAAGTAAAGAAGGCCCTACAGCCACTCGGCACATTTTTTCCATTCATATACAGTCTAGGACCCCAAACCAGAGAAGAGTACCTCTCACAGCAGGCTGGCCTTCCCATATCAATTAATGTAATTAAGACAATCCCCAACGGCATCCCCATAGGCTAAACTAACCTAAGAATTTCTTCATAAAGACTCCTTTCCCTGGTGGTGGTCATGGGTGTGTTGAGCTGAGATTGAAACTCACCCTCTTAACACTCACTCTATAAGATGTGGACTATTATTGATGTCATTCCATAGAGAATGTGGTAGAAACTTACAGACATGATCTTCATTGGTCGAGATCATATAGCTAGTACGTAGAGTTAAAATTCAAACCCAGGGAGTTTGTTCTCCAGGCTCGCAACTTCAGTAACGCTGACAGCTAAGGCTGGGTAGCTCTGCTGTGGAGGACTTTATGGGGATGAAGAATGTTCACCTGCTGCTGGCAGCATCCCAGCTCCGCTCACTCCTTCCAGCATCAGTCTCTGGGTTCACCTCTTTTGTCCCCAGTCCTCCTGGAAGCTGAATTGGAATCAACTATTCTCCCTGCCTATCCTGCCAACCACTCAGTCTCACCTCATTGGACAACTTTGATAAATACTTTAATGGCTATAATATATTTTATTGGACATTAATGCACACTATATACTAATTTTGATTATTTTTTTAAAAAATTTTATTTTAGAGCTGGATACAATGAAGCTCTTGGAAAACCCCCTTTGGTGTATATAATCCTAAAGTTAAGCTTGGTCAATAGAGTCCCAAGCAAGAGGTGATTTAAAGTACTAAGACTGACACTGTGATCCTTTCGGGAGCATTTGTCCCTTTATACCCAGAGTACTTCAGAAGATAAAACAAATGCAAATTGTATCAGTAAAGCATTTCTACTGTGAAATTTTATTTAGTTAGTGTAAACAGGTGAAGTCTAAGTCAACAAACAATTAGAATTTAATTATCTGCATATATATAATTATTCAAAAAAATTTAAGATTAAGAATTATATTACTTTTCTAAACTATGTAACAGGTTAAAATTTGTTAGCACCTTGGTTTTGTTTCAGTTCTTTTTTTAAAAAAAATGTATAATTAAACATATATTAAAAGCATGTCTTTTGCAAATTTTACTTACAGTATATTATGCAAATATTTAAAGTGATTACTGCCATGTTGACTACTTAGGAAAAATATAAAAATTAAGGTCAGCACACCTGATGAAATTACTTTAGCAACAATTTGCACACATACAGAAGTCCAGAGAAGAAAAGACAGTCTAGAGAAATTCGCACAATGTCTTGTACAATTTACATAAAACAAGACATACACATGAGCCAAGTTAAGGAATATAGTGCAATTTATTTATTACACATATTTTACGTAAGCAATTTGCCACAAATTTTACATTCTGTGCATCCATAAGAAAAATCACAGTATACACAGACTAGATGCAAAATACATTGGACAAAAGCATCCTAGAGATGTTTATGTTGTCACAACTTTTACAATATTTGCAGATCTCTCTTAACTTTTGGGGGAAATATGGTGTAGTTTTGATTAAAAATAAACACATTTTATACCTGTGATTTTTTTTTTACTACTAATACCATCTCACTAAAAATATAATTTCCTACAAATTCTGCAAAGTATTAAATTAATAGGTTTTGGTTTATGCATATCAATAAGAACATAGTTAAACACACATCTGACTAAGTAAATCCCAAGATAGACAGTGGACTTCATTGGATGTATAAACAGTGTGCAATTTGAATGTAATACCTTTTAATAACCTATTTGGGTATCATGGTTGCGGTTTAAGGACAGAGCAGCACATTAAAATTACCTAAAACGCATACATTACCACAGTTACTACCAGATCAAACACTTCAGGAAGGCATAGCCACTATGTCTCCCAATGTGCATAAAATCAACACCCTGGATAAATTGTAAGTCTTCATTTTTCGTCATTTAGGGACTTTTTCAGTTGGTCTTGTGCTTTCTCTTCACTCTTCTTTTTAACATCTGCAAAAAAATAATTTCTCATTCTTATGCAAAATACATGGAAATATATTTTATATTTAGAATGAAAAGGTTGTTTTGTGCTTTGTACCCCTAAGTAGTTTTTCATCCTGACTAGGTCATATTTTGCCCTCAGCAGATGTGAATCTGCACAGAGAGGACATATTTGAGTAGTTTCTAGATCTTTCTCCTAGTCATTTTTTTTCCTGGTTTATAGTTACTACAACCAAACACACTCTTAAGATGTCATTATACTCTTTATCTACAGGACAGCAAACTACAGCCGAAGCAGGTGAAATGATTTGTGGGAAGTCACCGAGCAAGTGAAAGTCACAACTTGAATCTAGATCAAGTGGCTACATAGGTCCTCAATCATTTCCCTATTCTGGGACATAGTTTCTCTGTATTCTTTGCATTTTCTATTTCCTTTGCTTCTTTAGAGACAACCTTCTGCCCTTCAGAAAAGATGAAATCAATGCCATTGTGTGGGAGCTCCTTTACCTTCCTACTACTAAATGTTGAAAATCTTCTGTAATCTGGAATCATTGTTCCTGCCTGCACTTCCAGAACAATGGGAGTGTGTATGTGCTTCTCAGGAATGATTTCATAATTTGCTATTACTCATTGAGAAATGACACAGTAGTCACTATACTGATAAAACTATGAATAACATTGAGATCAAAAGAGGAGAGCATTCAGCAAGTACAACCCTCGGTGAGTGTAGGGCCCTGCCCATTGTCCTGGGTAGACGCCTTTGTTGTTGTCCCTGGTGATGCTCTTGCTGCCAAAGTCTAATGCCCTTGGTTCCAACTCACCAAGAAACCTACTCCAGTGACAATTCCCTGTTCTTTATTCTACCAAACTTCCCCCCTTTCCTCCTTCTTCATTTCAAACCACTATCTTTAAATGCTCTTTCTCTCCCACCCCCTCTTGTCTTCCTCTCTGAAACAAAATCCCACTATGTAGATCAGGTTAACCTCAGAGTCACAGAGATTTATCTGACGTTGCCTCCCATGTGATGTGATTAAAGACATGCTACTCAGTTGCAATACTACATTCTCCTTTTCCTTTCTTTAAAATGTTCTGCTTTTGTCAGTCTTCATTTAAATAAAATTATTTACATTTTAATATTTCCAACAAAAATTCTCCTAACAAAACCATTTATAAAATCTTTGAAGATACGTCTGGTAGAGTATATTTAGGACTTTTTATTTGTCAAATACCTGTTAAGCAACTTTGACTATATAATGAGTTTCATACTAGCTTGGGCTACAATAAAAGGCCTACATATTTTTTTTAAAAAAAGATATTTATCAAGCTAACATAGTTGAAGTACCTGAAGTAGTTCTCAAGCACCATCCAGTGAGTGGCACAAAATGGACAATAAACAAAATATATAAAGTATGTGGTATGTGGGAAGTGAAATATGTTCATGGGGTTAATTAAATCAGGAGTAGAAAACAGAAATTGTTAAGATGTCTCAGGTCTAGAGTTTACAAACTGATACAGAATTGACTGGAAACAAGCACCGGAAAAGGAGACATTTTAGCAAAGACCTACAAAAACGAGGTAGTGTGCTGCTCATATCCCATGCAGAAAGGGATACAAAATGAGATAATAGTAAAATCAAAAGCAGCATCAGTAAAGAGACACAATGGGAAGAAAATTAAAGGCATGGGATGGAATCTAAGAAGCAACAGGCCATATGTAGCAGGTAGAAAAAAACGGCAGATTTCTGGGCCAGTTTTGAAAGTGTAGCTGACAGTGTTCTCTAAAGTTAGAGATGAAGAATGTTCAAAATAGAAGGTAAACAAGGATGAGGCTAAGATTTTTGGTTTCAGCAACTGCAGCTGTAAATCACGATTGGAAAGATACAGGAAGAGCAGGTTTCAGAAGGAACATCCAAAGTTTTCTCTGAAGTTCATAAGTTTGATAGCCTAGCAATAATGTCAGCCAGGTTGTTTCTTCAATGAGAGAAAACTTCAAGCATCTTCAGACTGAGATCTATAACAGTCAATCTTCCTGTCAACTTGAGTGGACTTGCATCTTCAGACTGAGATCCATAACAGCCAATTTTCATGTCAACTAGAGTGAATTTAGAATTAGCTGGGAGACTCACCTCTGAACACAAGTCCAGAGAGGCTAGACTCAGTGAGTTAAGACCCTGATTGTGGGCAGGAACATTTTGTAAAATCCCAGATGCAATGAAAAGGTCAACCAGAAAAACTAGCTGAGCATCAGCATTCATTTTCTTTTCTGATTCCTGACTGCAAAGGCAATGTAAACAGCCTCCTCACCGTCCTCCCTGTATTCCTGCTATGATGAAATGTTTGCCCCTTGAAACAGTGAGCAAACGTGAACCCTTCCTCCTTAATTTTATTTTCCTCAGGTATTTTGCCATAGCAATAAGAAACGTCAGAATACTGGTACGAAGAACAGAACTGCAGCGCTAAGCCTGGTTGTGCGATTTCATAGGCCTCTACCACAAGCTTTTCGGAGGAAGAGTTTTGAGCTCCAGATTAGAGAAAAGCCCTAAGATGTTAAAAAAAAAAAAAAAAAAAAAAAAAAAAAGAAGAAGAAGAAGAAGCTTTTAATAGGATATTCTGATGGGAATGTGGAAGACCAGAATAGCACAACATGTAAACACTGGAGGCCTGGCCTATGAGGTACCAGAGAGGAAACAGGGATTCTACAAAGAATTAGACTAGAAGTCATCATGCTATGTTCAAGCAAAGTCTTTGCCAATGTCCTGAGAACTTGAAACTGAATTCCAAAGGAACTGACTAATGTGTTTGGTAGAGGAAACGTCAAGGTAACATACCACTGAGGCTATGTCATAACTACTGCCTTTTGTCCTCAAGCATTCGCTCTTACAGTGAGAGCAAGCAGCCAGTGGAGCAGAAAGATGCAAAATGTTTACAGTTTGACAAAGAAGGGGAAATGCTGACAGCTGCGGATCAGCCATGTGTGGAGTAAGCAGCTGTAACTGTTAAAGAGATGGGGGAGATGAATGTGAAAACTTCATAATTTGCACTGGGTAAGAGGAAAGATGCCCGAGGGCAATGCCCTCGTCATTGAAGGCTCACGTTTGCAAAAGTGCAAATTCCTTTGAGGAGGGCGAGACTCATATGTGAAGCCTATGAAGAGGTCTCTGCTAAAAATATTCATTGAAGGAAGAGGTTCCTGGACTCAGCTACCTAGTTCCACAAAGACCTTATACAGTTGTTCTAGAGTAGTGGTCCTCAACCTTCCTAAGGTTACAACCCTTCCATATAATTTCTCATGTTGTGGTGATCCCCAACAATAAAATTATTTTCGTCACTACATCATAACTGTAACTTTGCCACTCTTACTAATCGTAATATAAATATAAATATTTGTGTTTTTTTGGTGGTCTTAGGTGACCCCTGTAAAAGGCTCATTAGGTACCCGCTGGTTGAGAACCACTGATCTATAGCCATAATAGAAGTAGGCAAGACTAGACCTAAGATTGACCAAAATGGAAGTTATGAGGACATGGGGGCACCTACCAAGGTTCCGGAAAACTACTGAGGCCGATCAGCGAGTGAATGTGTTTTTGTAAGTAGGCCATGTGATCAGTGAATGAACACATTTCTGAAAGTAGGCCATGTGATACCATGCAGAAAGCTATGAAAGTAAAGCCTAAGTTGCAATGGTGATGTCAAGATGTGAGGAGCCAGGACTTAGGAAAGCTTGAGGAATGGGGCAGAGACGGCCAAAAAGAGGGGCTGCTGCGCTGCTGCTGGCAGTATTTGGTTATTGAGATTGGCCATGGTACATAATGCCATGAAAAGTGCCAGGTGGGGGATATGGAACTGCAGGACTTGGTGTTGTTCCTGATGAATCTGGTCTTCTTTAGCTTCTTTCTTTGCGATGTCCCTATTCTTCCTCCCCCATAGAATTGGAATTTTGATTCTATGTCATTGTATGCAAATTATTTTTGAATTCCTAAGGATTCACATTTGCCTCAAAGGAGAGGTTTTGGGTTCTAGATTTTCTAGTGATGTTGAAGCTGTTAAGACTGCAGACTTTTGAAGTTAGAATGAATTCATTTTGCATTACCTGATAACCACAGGGCTATAGTGTAAAGAGTTGATTGCTACAATTCAAAATTTATATGCTTGGATGTTAAGTTGATAAAGGGTAGACTTGCAATGGTTAATATTATCAGCTTGGCTGGGTTTAGAATCACCCTGGAGGCATTTTTCCGGGTATACCAGTGAGGTCATTTTAAGGCAGTTTGAAGTGAGAAGGGAAGACCCAATCTGAATGTAGGTGGTACCATCTAGTCAGCTAGAGGCCTACTAAATGAAAAGGGGAAAAAGAAAGAAACCTGGGAACTGGTATTTGGTTCTCTCTACTACTTCATGATAGATGCAGTTTGATCAGCTACCTCACATCCTATCATGACACATCCCCCATGATGAGAACTACCATTCTAAACTGTGAGTAAAATTAAACCCTTCCGTGATAACCATTATCAAGAATTAAAATAGAGCAGTCAGGGTTCCCTGCCCTGTGGAAAGTCCAAGGTCCTCCCCCCTCCATCCAGGTCTAGGAAGGTGAACATCCATACTGGCTAGGCTCCCACAAAGCCAGAACATGAAGTAGGATCAAAACTCAGTGCCATTGTCTTTGGCTTCTCATCAGCCCTCATTGTCCACCGTGTTCAAAGAGTCCGGTTTTATCCCATGCTTTTATCAGTCACAGTCCAGCTGGCCTTGGTGAGCTCCCAATAGATCAGCCCCACTGTCTCCGTGGGTAGGTGCACCCCTTGTGGTCCTGACTCCCTTGCTCATGTTCTCCCTCCTTCTGCTCCTCATTGGGACCTTGGGAGCTTAGTCCTCCATTGCTCCAGTGTGGATCTCTGTCTCTATCTCCATCCATCGCCAGATGAAGGTTCTATGGTGATATGCAAGATATTCGTCAGTATTGCTATAGGATAGGGTCATTTCAGGTTCCCTATCCTCAGCTGCCCCAGG